TGGTAGCCCATTATTTCTAATTGAAAAAATCTCATTCAAGAGCAGTTATTTTTCCCCCCTAACATATCAGATTCAATGTTTATGAGACTACTGACCAGGTTTCTACTTTGGCTTTGATTCTTTAGCATTAACATGTTTCCACTTTCTGATGGGACTAAGTTGGGCATTTATCTGTAAACACACAACATCTCAGTTGGTCTTTCCCAAATGTCAGTTCAGCCAGGTTTTCTGCTCATCTGCGCTGTGACTGGTAAGTTCCAGAACTAGATCATCTGGTATGTTCTCACACATCTCTGCTCCATAACCTGAATCCATACTCCAGCAAAAACTTATTAAAGTCTATTCACTCTTCATTATCACAAGGCTGGCAATAACTCAATCATGATGGTACACTAAAACATTATGAACATGCATTGTTCTTATTGACTATGGTTTTTATTCATCTGCCATTTCCTCTGTTTTCCATCAATATACAGCTATAAAAAAAGTTTCAAATTCAATTTAAATCATGCCTCCTTTAAGATCTTACCTAGCCCCAGCTGTTCTCATTTGAAGGAACTTTGTTGTGGCATATTCTATCTTCTACTTCTTGGATATTTTTTTTTAAATCACGACTAAGAGAAAAACATCAATTGTTGCAAAGGAAAAATGGAATCTTGACCCCAAAACTTAAAAATAACGATCAGTTATCCATTACAAAAATTACAAGTTGTGCATGCCTTCTGTTCTTGATTTGAAATTTTAAATGTTGAGTATTCTGCTATTCAGCTTTCACAAGAAGGCTTGATGCTGGGTAAAGACCACCACATTTTACAAAACTGATTTAATCCCGAATTTTGTCTGCTCGGTTGAGAGAAGCAGCAGAGCTAGAACTGTTGCAAAGGCTTCACTCAGCAGACTGAATCTAAAGCTGGCTTCCACAGACTCAGGAAGGTTATAATTATAAAGGCCTTTATGCAAGTCCATTTCAATTTGATTAAGAGTATTTTACAAAGCAGTTTAATAGACTTAAAAAAAAAAAAAAAAAAGCTTGTGTGTTTAAGTTAGTCATTATTTCTCAAGTGGGTACCATGAGATGGTAAGCAGTTAGGAAAAAAAAAAAAATCAGCACTTAGCTTTCAAGCTAAGCATTGCTCTCACAATCATGACTGCAATATCTGGTGTTTCATGCCCCTCCATCTCCATATTATATCTACACCTATAGATACAGGAGAAGCCATCCCTCAATTTTAGCTAAGGACTAGTAACACAAAATAGCTCCAAGTCTGAGACACAGAAGTTGGAGTTTAGCAACAACCCTCATTTTAATAGTGGGACATGTTCATTAATGCGCCTCAGATACTTCACATTTATTTTAGTACCTGCTTAATAAAGTACTAACTGAATGTGTTGTAATTAGAGTTACTGAGCAGTAGCACTGGTGCATGGTTATTTTGTGACACTTACTGCTCATTAGCCTAACAACACTACGCAGTAGGCAGGCTATTAAAACGGTTTTTAACCGCCAGGCTACTGCACAGTGTTATTAGGCTAATGCGCCATAAGCATCTTGTTTAGATGTGCCCAGTGAGTTACAACACAGAAGCCAAAAGATTGGCAGCATGGCGATCACGCGCTGGGGAATTCTCATAACTTTACCAAAACCACCTACAATTTATTGCTTGGTTCCAAATTATGTCTAATTTCACAGACTATATATCAATTGTCCCTGTATATACCCCTATGAAATGTTCAAAGAGATACTCTACAACATCTGCATTTGCTGCATTACCCATTCCTCCACTGGATTACCTGAAAAACATCCACACTTTCTTTTAAAGCCAAACACAATAGC